TTAAGTGTGACTGCGAGTTATGCTGTAATTTGCAGTTTTTTTTCCAAAATATGCAGTTTTCTCAGGCCTTGATGGATCCACTTATTGTCGCAAGCTCCGAGGTGCTTGCACGCCACCAGGCCGTGTTTTTTTGAAATACGAGAATCGTTAATGTCCACACTTATGCGAGTCAGAGAGACTGGGATGAATTAAGTTCATTTGTCGGAGATACTTGAATAGGCCTTCAGGATGTGCACAAATAAATGCAGAAGTTTTCAGCGCGTCTCAGGACAGGCGAATGAACTGTTTGGTGCTATTTTACCGCGCGGAACGGTCAGCGGTGTTAATTAACGTCGACCATCTCCGTCGACGCGAGTCTAGACAGTCAGTGTCTATATTGTTCGTGCAGACACGTGTATGCATGACTGGTTAGGGAGTCAGCGCCGCGATCCAGGACAGTGGCCTTCTCAAGACGGATTTTTAGATGCTCTCTACAAACCTTTTATGCATCCACCATCAGTAGCACTTTCTTTCCGCATTCACATGGGTAACGGATCACTCAAAGTTTACTGTTTAATTAGTCAGGTCAAAGACACCCAGGAGACACGTATAAGCTATCCATTGTGACATATCAATTGATCCTTGTGGAGATGAGTCGACAAAGATCCTCTCCCCTAAGTCCTGTCATGGAGCTGGAAAAGGTGGGCTCGAGGTACGCTAAAGGATTTACACACTGGCTCTTTGAGCGTGTGTTTTTAGTTGCTGGCAAGCGGTACGAAAATCTCCCTTTTTCATCTGACTTAGGAGAGCACACACGAGATGCAACGACACAACCGAGTTACATCCACAGTACTCCGCGCAGCACAATCAGGCTTGTAAACTTAAACATGACCAACGTTCTGGTCATCAAACCGAAGTCATGAACAATTCGGGTCGTTATATCACTACGCAAGAGCTTGCAGAGGGCTTTAATGTTGTAGCACGTACGACAGCTGAAAACACCTCTAGTGCGTCGAACTGGTATTCAGGTTCCTCATGACCTTAGTCCAACAAACTGATATTTGCCAATAAATACTGAATCTGGATAAAATGTCTTCAGAGATAAACATCCACAAGAAATAATTTGCAAAGTAATTTTTAAAAATCATGACTGTAGTAATCCTCACACACTTGTGACAGCCCGCGGAAAATTTTTGATGCGTGATTGGTAAGTGACTTAGCATTTAGATCTCCACAGACAATGAACTTGTACCGTCTGCTTACCACTTATTTCCAAGTTTGAAAAATTAGTTGAATGATACAATCCTCATTAATGTTGATAAATTGAAATTTCACTGAGTCATTGTTTACTGATAAGGAAACGACAATTACAGTAACAGTGGAATCATGCTGTCTGCATAAACATGACGAAAGTTCATAAGACAAATAGAACAGCACAAAAATAAGTTATGCTTGTTCTTTGTAGCAAAAATGGGTTGCCTTTCGCATAACTAGACTGGGAATTGTCACTTCATTAACACTGGTTGATATTCCACGCTTGGAGTGTTGGATCACAGGCACACATCGTACCGGTGGGTCATAGTTTCGTATCCAGGTACTATCCATTCAGGAAATTGACACTCCTACCTTAGACAGGGTGTTTACACGAAGATCATTCTGATAGAATAGCCTGCCTGTTTTTCATATCCTCATATTGTCTCTAATTTTCCAACTCACGTTACAAATACAACTCATGTATTTGCAGATGCATCAAGGTTGTCTTGGCAGGAAAACAACCAAGCAATCCTGTCTTCTAACAGGTCTTACCAAACTCAATAATTTGCAAATAAGACCCTTTCAACCTGCCCACACGTCCACTCTGAGGCTTGGTTGCTGCCAAAACAACATTAGATGGCTTCGTGACACTAAAGCTTAGAATAATCATCAGATGATAATTTCCAGTCTATAAACCAGAAGAAAACTTTTCAATCTTAAATTTGAATATATCAGCGCTTGACATTTGTGTTGACAGAATCAAAACTTTGACCATAAAGTAGGCGTTTTTCAGTGCAACAACCGAAGCATACGAGGGCATATTTTCTCTCAATTGGTACTTTGTTAATGGTCAGAAGTATACCTATGTGCATTTATTTATTGAAAATCCAAATCCAGCAGACTGAATCAAGTGTTGCTAGAATCCGACGTGGGACACCACTTTGACAAAAAAGTTATTTCACCTTCTATTTCAAGAATTCACACTGACAGATCTGGCCACCGGGCACCCGTATTGAGATTCATTCGCTTCTTAACTTGTCTTCTCTTGATTAGGAGATTTCGTGACAGCATTCAAAATATTTTTGTTTCTTCCATGTTGAGCGAAGGCTATTTATCGTGTTACACCAATGCAACAAAGAAATCAGTTAAGTTTAAAACGAAAGCCTTTGTTACCCACCCTCTAATAAAGGCATAAATTACAGAAAACAACAATAAGGATCAACGAAAGCATTTTTTTGTGAAATTGCATCTTTTCTGACAATTTTTGCATAATACTTTAAATTGTCTTTTTCGGTTTTAGGAAATATTGGCCCACATTTTCGCTAACCTTACTCATTGTTGATTGAAGTTGCGACCGAAGCTTTTCTGTTTTAAATTTTTCAGTTGCTTGTTTAATGGATGCATGAGAAAGAAAATTTCCGAATGGAAATGCAAGTTTTTGCTAGTTTCCAGGATTTTTTCCAACTGTTCAATGCAAAGTACTGTTTTATAGCCACTAAATTTTGCCCACTTACAAGCTCACACCGACCACGCTGTCTTGGCACCCAGTAAGGCCGACACTAAACCCCCAGGGATTGACTTCTAATAAAATTCGACATGTTTTGTTGTCGGGCGGTGCAAAAACATGCTGCCACGAATAGAAAGTCGTGGGGAGAAATATAAATCACACAGGATTTCAGCGATATTTATTTTCTGCCTTATTTTTCTTAGAAATGAAATAGAAAAATAGTAGTAGTTGCATCAAAGCTCTGTAATCGAAAACAATGTCCATGGATGATTGACTATCATCCGGATTTCAGTTTACTTACGCTTCTTTCTGACTGTTTGTCTTTTTGGACATCCACAGGCCTAAAATGCCCTTCGAAATTTGTGCAATCAGCTCATAAATATGCACCTACGGCCTAATTAGACCTGAAACACCAAGGAAGTGGCTGAACGGTAATGTCCACTGCATGGTGTTGTCTCTGGGAGTTGACAAGTAGCGTCCAGATGGCAGCAACTTGGTAAAACCGATGCCAATCACCAGAAATAGCCCGCAACGGTGCTCACAAATTACTCTAGGGATGTCTGGCACAAAGCCAAATCTTTAGCCATGATGATAACCGCGACAGCATGAGGCCTTAAGATGACACCTCTACGGAACTTTACGATGCCCTCTGGTGCTCTGCACTAGTGCTCCGAAAAGAGGTGAATGTGGGACAAAAACTCAAGGTAACTTCCCTGATTTCTAGGCGAAAGCGGACGAAGTTTGAATGCACTTTCAAATTAAAACATTCTATAACTGCTAACTAAGTCTATTAAAATAAAACGCGTTTCATCATGTGTTAAAATAGGGTGAGTTTAGGTGCCGGTTACTTTAAAATTGAATACATGGTTACGTAATGTTCAATTCATGTAGCCTTTGTCAAACTGGGCTTGATTTTCCTCCGTCATATTACAACTAAGGTACACTTTAATGAAGTCCTTTTGGCAGAACTTTATTATTAATGAAGCTGGCTGTGATAAGTGAGGCGATTAATGACACTTTAATGGTGACACAAGTTTCGCCCTCTATAATAATGTATGTTGATTTCCCCAATAACTTCTTGGTGATGCCACCGAAACAAAGGCATCCTATGCGTTAGTAAAGGTGCAGTAATTATACTGATAGAACTGTCTCAACTTCTTGATGATCCACAAAACGCCAATTTTCGGATTCCGGCATAGTGATTTTGAGGTTTCCTGCGATTTCGATGCCGAGAAAACTTCCACCTTGACAAAAGCGTATCCCAGAAAAAAAAATGCGAATAACGCATTTGTTCACTTGAACTTACTGATGCGAGGTTTCTGCTCAATAGTATCAATAGTGTCGTAATATTTGGTTTTGACTTGACTGACTACAGACCTGTCATAGTTTTTAACGACTTAATTGCATAACTTGCCTAAAAGCATTCCGATACAGCGATACAATAACAGTAAACCCAGATTTGGACAACATGTCGTACACCATGCAAGCTGTTACATTGCTCAAACAAATCACGGGCATTCAAATCATTGTGTGTGGTTGAGGAAGCACATCTCCTTTCACGTGCACATTGTCCAATTATCACAAATTGAAATATTGAGTCTAATATCATCTTAAAGATACAAAAAATCCAGTTTTGGTGGACAGTTGCAAGGACCACTTAAAGATGTGAATCGCGTTTATTCACACGCCCTAATCCGGCCGCTCCATCCTCCGACACAGGGTTCCCCTTTTTTGCAGCATGTCGCCAGCCGCGCGGACCCTCAACTCCCCCCTCATTTACACGATTATTTATCTTGGATTACCCTCACACCTAGGTCGCGATGTTAGCGCATCCATGACTCACACATCTGAGGCATAAACACACGCGCAAACCCCACACACCACAGCGACACCAATGTGACGGAGCGCTGAAGTAAACCGTTGTGTCCACGTCCTCTCCCGCCTTTTCTTCATCGCGGGTATCAGGGAAACGTAATCGGGCCAGGGTTAATCTAGTGGCCCCGGCGTGGTTCAAGACCACACTCTGGGTCCCATAACAATGTCAATTTCAAAAACGCTTCATCATTCGCCTTTTGATATTCTTATGAGTCCTTAATGCCTAGAATGAGTTGTTTCAAATCACTTTTACGATGCTGTTAGAATGCATTTTGCTAGACAGTTGTCGGGCCAAAATATTTGTGCAAGATAAAAAAGGAAGTAAATTTCTGGTGCAGAATTTTACGAAAACCTTACTTAAACCTAGATGTGAGGACTATAATTTTTATTCTAAAAGGATACTGCGGTGTTTCCATGACCTGTATCGATGAAAAAAGAAGGTCGTAACAAGAAGAGACAAGGAGAAAAAGAAGATAACAACTGGCCAAAAAGCAGAATGAAATATCATTTGAGGGCTATGGAACTTGTCTATAAGTGCCTCGCTACTCTTGTATTTTACTGAGGCGAAACAGCGAAACTTCGTGCGAGATTGGAGGCGCATCTTAAAGAGATCCATTGCGTATCGATTGTCCTCTGTCCGACGGTAGCATGTAGACGTGACGCACTAAACAAGAGCCACAAATATGTTGAAAATAGAGCATGTATTTCATCCAAATCATGGGCTAGTTGCATCGGCCAAAATTTTCATAGCTATTGTTTTGTGGGCTTTTTTAGTCTATGTTTTGGCAAAATAACACCAGCGAAAATATATAATGAAATGACTAGAGCTCGTTCTCTATCTTCTTCGATCGATCAACTAATTTTACCTGATAAACTCACATACGAAGCTATCTTTTGTGCTGTATGTGAACTCAAGGACAAAAGACCGATAAATGACCATGCTTTCCTGATAACTCGGTTGTAAATCGAAGTTTTTGGCAAAAAGTTACAAATCTGATCAAAAACTCAGGATTCAAAACAATTTAAATTTTTTAGATATGCATATTTTGCAATTGTCTAGTTAAATTCGAATTAACGAAACTTTAAAGAATTCGTTAACTGAGCTTAAGATTATGGCATAGGTCCCAGAGAGTGCCGCCTAAGAATGAATTCCAAAATTTTATCGGCTGTGATGCGAAAATGGTTTGTAAGTAAATTGTCACTTTAAATTATTGTCACCGATGTGGTAAGTCCAGAGCAAATATTTTACTCCTCCTGTACGGAAGACATTTTGGTGCTAATGAATTATTGTTTTACAAACATAAGTTTAATTTATTTCTAACGCATCTAGATGTGCAAATAATAGTCAATTTGCAATGGTCAAACACCTTGAAGTTTGTTTTACCTGTTTTCGAAATCAAAGTCATAGCAAGACTAAAAAAATTCAACTATAATCATACAGAGGTAAAAATATTTATATTTGCAAGAAAAATAAAACAAATTTATTTATATGTTCATATTAGCCGCACTTGTTCAGTTTACTAAGGCGATTAAAATGTGAGGAAATGATTAAATGTTGAGTCATCGAGATTATAATCCCTTTATATTTACTCTGTAATTCAGGCTACATCGTGTAACCAGACTGTCAAAGCTTGATTTATGAGGAGTCAAATATTTCAAACAAAACTAAATCCACACATATTTATTTGACGCAAATAAACTGGGGTGCTACCTACATTTTGTATCATCTCATTTTTCATAACTCAAGTATCAATTTTTCAGTGGCTCTAGATGTAAGTTCGGAAATATTTTTGTTGAAAGATACCATGTTAAATGAATTACGCCAGTAACTTCTAAAATGGCTGTTTTCTACAATCATTTGTCGAAAGAGCTAACTAATTTTGTCAACAGTATCTGTACTTAAGAAAGACGACAAAAGTGCATGGAACGGGGCCAGGCGCACTCCATGGGCAAACTAAAACCTCCCCGTTACAGGTCGACGGTCCGTAGAAGAGTGTGGCTTTGAGCTTTTTAATGGCGGGAACCGACGTTCGCTTGGCTACTTGTGAGTAGAAATGCCTGAATTCGACTGGTAATGATCAAAAGGACGAGGGTACTGATGACGTTCAAAAGAAGTCACAAAGAAGGTACTTAAGCTAGAAAGACCGGACCCGCCTAGTAATTTTGGATAATTATAATGCACTTCGTAACATATGCTCTGGCAATATGAAGGCAGCATCACGACTTCAAAAATACCGACACGTTGGACAAGAACACCAAAAAACCTTTGTTTTCGCTAAAAAACCCCCTTGTACCTACACTTACTTATTCAGAAACGTAACAGTAAGACAGTTCATAAACACGATGTATACCTTTTACAGTTGCATTTTTTGCGTTAAACACGCGGAAAAGGCATTGAAGGGCAGGTGTTTGACAGCACTCCTGGGCCGATGGGCCTTGCAATAGACTCATTCAAAAGTAGCATGCTCAATAATTTGGTAAATTTAATGAGTCTAACTGGTACCTTTTTGCCCATTAAAAAGGCTACTGCCATCGTCACTGATATGGTGCATGGGTTTAAAATTCAAACACACCAGTAACAATTAACAAGTTCGCAAATTTTGAGTGCACACAATATGGATAACAGCGTACCTTCTTAGTTGTGTTTATATTAGACCCCTGAAGAAGTAATACTTCAGTTTCGATATCTATGATTTCCATAAACATGGCCCGATTTTAAAAACGGTATTTCGATAATCCCCGTTTTACACAATAGACTTAAAACTAATACAGTTCAATTGTGGTCAGCTAAATTTAAGGGCTTATACTTCAAGAGCAATTCAAAACAGGCATTTTTAAATGTGAATCTTGCATAACAAGTCTGCTGTCACCGCAGGTGATTGTCAGCGTGGTTACGGTGACAGCGTTGAGCTGTTGTCTAATTGGCTGACTACTTAAAACGCCGTGTGTATTTCACGTCCAAGGATGCGGTGGTTCGCGTTTTTAAAAAAAATACCAAGCCTTGAGGCAAAAAGGTAAACTACCTTTGGCTGACTCTGTCGGAAGATGAAGGGACGAGTCAATTGTGTGCATTACTGCAAGTGGTCTAGACTTGCTTACGATGAAGAAAATCCTAAACCTTCAATGTTTTAGCAGGATTGTTTGAACAAACTTAAATAAAAAATGTTTTCAAATTCAACACACTTTTTGCTAGAAATTTCCCCTGCATGTAAGTAATTTGTCGTGGAACTAGAGTAAGCTGTTCACAATCATATATTCATGACAACGAACATAAGTAGAGTCAGCAATTCAGCAGCAATTACCGCTGTGGCTCATCTCCCTTCACTCTGGGTACACTGTTTCCTCACTTGAATAGTACCAATTGCACTTGGGTTTAGTATTTTTCTCGATACAAGGGAATTTAAGCAAAATTTATAGCTGAAATGTGCAAATAGAATTTCCCCGAAAGTTAGGGCTTCAGTCAACCATTCTTGTATCGTAGTGGTTTCGTTAACACAAATATAAAAAAGCTACAGCGACATCAATATTTAACACAAGAAAAGGTATGATGTTCCCGTTAGGTGGTTTAGTTAACGCTATGACAAGAAAGTACAAACATTTCCCACTACTTAATTACAAAATTTGCAAAACAACTCCTACTTCTACAGCCCTCTAACTACTTTATTTTTTTTCTACCGATCATTTCTGCTTATTGATGGGTCAAATTAAACTATTAGCTGTTATGAAGTGCGTATTCCCTTTCATTGAATTTTAACTGATTAAAACTTTACCAGTGGTGACTTTACGTTCATTTCTGTAGTCACAACTTTTATTGAGCAATTAATGCGGCTCAACTCGAGTTTTAACTGTGCCTTTCATGAACGCGTTTAAAAAGAGTGCCTGAATGTTCATTTTCGTTTCTATTACACATCACAAATGATGATTCTACTGAAAATTTCGCCGAATTAATATTTACGCCACTTTCTATATTCAATTTCGCTGATTCTTCCAAGAAAATGAATATAACAAAAACGCTAGACCAAAAAACGCTGTGGTCATTTAAAAAAATGATTTTAGTCTTGTCTTATTTATTAACAAGCAACCATCATAATTTTTTGCCATTTTTTATTCTCAGCATTCAAACAAACGGTGAATGAACAAAAAATCGATATTCTGTAGCCGAATTAGGCCTGTTGAATTAGGTGTCACCCTGAGTTCCCAACATCGCAAATTCTAGTGCCCTACAATTGATATTCTCCCAAAATAAAAGGCAAAGTGTCACAAAAAGTCAGCAAACAATTGTATGCTTGTCTTTTTAGATCTAAATGCCTGTACGCTTTCGATGACAGGAAAAAGTCACTTGATTTGGGTTAGCATCGGCTCGTTCGTCTTGGCTCACGTTGAAAGCTCTTGACAAAGTGATGGTTGATGCGCAGATATCAGGTTACCGTGGGCCAGACAGACACTAGAAACCCTCTGGTCAGCTACCCATGTTATCGGGCCACGAAACGCAAATAGTCGTGATTCCTGTAAATTGGACTACACCAAGCACTGCCAGAGTAATAACCGATATGATTAGAATCGCTTATATCTATACTTCAAATATGGTTTTATTTTGATCCAGTAAATACATTTTTAAAACCTTAGTTTCCACTTATGATTTAATCCCTTTTTCGTGAACAAATCAGCACTTATATATAAAGCACTAGTGGTTAAACCTGACAATAATCTTAGAACTAGAGTTCTGGTACCAAATTTAAGCGGAAGCAAATTATCGGTTTCTTCGTTGTTCGATTTCAACTTTGTACCCATGAGGCACCCCCAGTACCAGTGCACTTAGCATCACCAAAACGGCATCGTAACCAGTGATATACTACAATGCCTGCAGGTTTCTTTTAATTAAAAGAGTAGCAATGACTGCTCAATGGGTTGCAACCTGAGCACAGCAATTGTTTTTCCAGCAGAGTCTTGGTACAGAACAGGATAATAAACCTTTATTAACCTGTCATTAGTTATTCCAAGCCTATATTAATCGGAATGCGTGCTGATTACCTGAGGGCTGGATAAGAGGGAAGAACCTTATTTTCCTTATTTGGTAAATCCTTTTCGCAAAATTCAATTACTTTTTTTAATTTGCGGACTTTAATGCCTAACAATAAGACGGTGCTTTCTGAACCGAATTGTCTTAAATTAGCCCTGAGGGATATTATGCCTGCATCTCGAAGAGGCGTAGAACAAAACAAGGCTCACTTCATCAAAGATTCAGATATTTGCAAGTATCTAATTTAGCAGCTCTCTAAGGAGCAGAAAATATGTGCGTTGTCAGTTGCAGGCTAACAGACGAAACACCACATCTGGGGAACAAATTTACATAAATTAACAGGCTTTACTGACACAATTATTTTATATTTTTATAATGTTATTTTGGATTTTTGAAAAATTAAGAAAGAACTAGAACCGAAAAAATTACCTGTGCACGGAGTACTTTCAATCTATCACCGTTAAAATAGAAAACCTCGTTTCCGAAGTTGGCAGATCGGAAATGGTGGCGTTTTTGAAGTGTGCTTATGCCTACCAAACTTTTAACCATTAGATAAAAGAAATTCTTAAACACCCATTTATTGATATTGCATAATTCCCAAGGAGACTGAATTACTACCAATTCTAAATTGGAGGCCAAGCCAAATGTTCGTGCGATGAAACGTTATAACTACCATAGTGTGCTAACATTCCTGGTGGAGTTTGACAGTTTGAATATTTACGTAAATGGTTCTGGCAATTTTTTTGTACAGATACCTTTCCAAAGCGAAATCACAGCCATTTCCAAGCGTTTTAAATGTTTTTCGTGGTTTTTTATACAGTAAAAAACTAAACTCAATAAATTGAGGATTGACCCGGGTTGAATTTGCATCATATGATGACTAATTAGATGAAAATTATGTAGGTTGTCTGCTGTTTTGTTCAAGGAATATTGTATATTCAATGTAATGATTGGATACTTGCTAAAAAGTCACCATTAATAAAAAATGGTAATTGAACTGAATATATGTAGCACTCAAACTTTTACCAACTTGCACATTTTTTAATGCTGAATTCAAATTTTCCAGTAGAAATGAAAGATTTTGATAGTCTAGTAATTAGTTTTTGATCAGTAAAAAACATCATTTCATTTAAGTTTCGAGATGGAAGAAGTGGTGTGTATCAATTTTCTGCTGCAACGTCTGCAAAACGGAGGGGTGTTTAACGCACTTGATCTAGAAAAGAGACTAAATTGCCCCTGAATTTGTTAACGGATCGCCTTTAAAAGGTTAAAATATCATATTTCTGTGTTAATGAACTTATTTCAAATCTTGGATTTTGGAAATCCGAAAGAATCGGAGGTATCAAGCAACCTTAAATAATCTTGCCAATCTAACGACAGATAATTTCGCCAATCTGTATGATCTCCTAATGACATTTGCGTCCCTTCGGACCACGGAACAGTTTTGCTTGACTGTCTCCTTTACTTTTTGGATATAACAGTTAACAATGGACCTTTTTACTAATAATTATATGCATCATGCATATGTATTTAAACGAAACTGATTGTTCAATGTACAAAGTATAACTGCTGAAGCTTGGCCCTACAGCATAATAGCGTGTGATTGAAGTACATACACACTATCAACGCTGAATTTGTAATCACGCACGATGGGAGCAGTTTGAGGTGCATGTGAAAACAAAACCAAGTATCACGCAGACGTCTCGTTTGTCGCAATACAAAATCGAGCAACTGACCTTAATCATGCATTAGCTACTGTCAAGATAATACATCAAACTCTGAACAGACTTCCTTCGATCGGCAACAGTTCGGTAGCTGCTTGCACTCCTGAATTATTCATCAGGATCACAAAAGCATCTACTAACCAACCTCTAGATAAGTTCTTCTCAACTACTTTACACAGACAAGTGTTAGGGGATTGGACGTTTTACTCAAACTTAGTGTAGCACTTGGTGCATTGCTTCCTCATTTGGAATTCCGGTGGCACCCACTTTGTCGGCGCCAAGGAGAAAACAAAGGCGTCGGCCTTGAGCTTGTGATCCAGGTTGTTCGTCAAACATTATCTAGATGATCTTTTCCGGCTCCTTCTTTTACCGGCTCTATAGGTTAAGCACGAATACAGAGAATCTATCCACTTCAAGTATGGGTCCCCTAAAACAACTGTGGCGGGTCTTCGATGACTTTTTGATAAAAAGGCATTTTGTCAGGCACAGGACCTGAACAGGCGTCTAGTGGGTTGTGGTAATGATGTACGAGAGAATGTATTCAAGGGAAGAAAGTTACAATCAAACCAAAAATAGACGGACGGAAACACGTGGTAAAGAATTGCCTAACGGTTTTTCTTAGAAACTTGATGAGCTAGTGGTATTTAAAAATAAAGTTAATAATGTAAGTGTAAGCCGCACCTCCGGACAAAAAGTACTCAAGCACATCCAGGTTTTAGGCTCAAAATGAAAATTCTTAAATTTAATTAAAGGGTGTCATTTATCACTAAACTGATAACAAACTTCAATCCACTTAAACAAATGTATGAAGAAATCGTGCTTCGCAAAGGTACATTACTATTAGTAGTAGAAGTTTACTTGTGGCTCGAAAACTGCGCAAAAAGTATGCATAGAAATCCGCCCTTGGCACCTTAAATGATAGGTGACACAAAACCGAATGTGTATAAAGCAAATTCAACGGTTGGATAGATTGCAATTTGAAAGTTTCGCCTGCAAAAAAGCGATGTTCAGGCTACTACGTGGGGAATAAATATGCCCTCTACAAGTTTGACTAAATCACTCTCCGTTTATCGTTCAAAACCGACCAGTACACGTCTGCACCGCTAAAAATCATTTCGATTTGTGAGAGTTAGGTGCGTTGGGTTTCTTGTTCAAGCAAACACGGTGGGACTTCTACGACATTCGTGAACTGCGTTTCAACTCCGTTAGCTAATATTATTCCCGATTTATGAATTGATTTTATCCGCACAAAGTCCTCACGTCATATCTAAATCCAAACCTACACTTACCCCATGTTTCTTGTAAATCTCATGAGTTCCGATTGTATCGAAAAGTTTGGCACTGTGATTTCGATTTTCCCATTCATATAAAATGTGTACCCTGAGGCAAGGGAACTGAGACCGGTCTTTTGAGCACTTATTTTCGCACCTGAGTAAAGGCATCTCGGGCTCAATGAAGTGGAGGTAGCAGTTGGCCTCCTCGAAGTACGACTCGTGCAGGTAAGGAAGAATTACCAGATTTATGAGAATGCACTCGATGATGAATGACATGGTTAATGTCGTCAAACAAACTATGTACACTGTTTTGATCAGTAGTCCCGTGCAAACGGTGTCCACAAACTGGTCAAGAGCGGAGTAGTGAGTCCCGCGGCTCGCTATGGCATCTCGTCGGACGTAGGCTCTCCGCTCACCGAAAGTCGGCAATTCATCCAGGTTCAGCGTGGACATCCTTGGGTCAGTGACATGTTCTTGCTGGCGAAATCGTTTAAGTAGACGGTGTGCTTGAGGGCTACTTGCGCCACGAAGCAATGCTCAGCTAGCCAATGGGATTTTTGCATTTGCGGCATTTGTCACGCCATTGGTAAGTTGTATTTTGTGTAAAGCTTTTTTTTAACTTTAGATACCATTAACCGGATGGACCACATGGAGCAGAAAAAGATTTTTGGATTAACCAATGAAAAATTAGTTTTGGCTTGAGTGAAGACATTTTGCCATTCCTAGACGTCAGAGATTAACTTTGCCAATACGACGGTCATCAAATCCCTTGCAAGCCTTAAAAATGAATGCAAATTTTAGCACAGCACTACTCATAAGGAGGAACACACCGAATAAAGGAAGTATTTGTTATGGATTGCAACTAGAAACATACTGATGATTGATTTAGGGCTAGTCCCGGTGCGTGTGACTTCTAGAATCTCACGAAAGGTAAGTGGTCAAGGCATTTTATACAACGCTGTTACCAGCGCTCTTGTTACCTTGAGAACCATAAGTCACTCATTTGATTAAAGACACAGAAGCCACACGAGTGAGAAGTGAACCCTTGTGTAAAACGGGCCCTTTATGCTTCAAATTGCATACTTTTTTTGAACGATGTTTTTCGAGATATACCCATGTAGTGCATTAAGACAACAGGAGAAGATTATTATAAATTAATAAGTATTTATGGTGGTGGACAAGAATGTGTAGTGGACAGACCGCTACCTCGCGTGAGTGATGCGTGTATGATGGCCAGACTGTGCCAATGACTCACCCCTTTTTATTGGCTCCTGTCGGCAGTGGCCTGTTACGCACGCGTACTCAAATGCACACAAGGCCACGTGGCTGGTGTAAGACTAATGAACGGTTGCCCTCTGTCGGCTCTTTTCCCTCCTCTTCTCGAGTCGTTACGGCCTGTTAACTAGTGGGTTGTAAGGTAGTGCTAAAGTGAAGCCACTACATATGTATGTATGTACATAGAACTCCTCATTTTTTATCTGAAAAACATACTGATTCTTGTTAAAAGGGAGATCCTGTAACTAATAAACTTAATTTATTCGCATAATGCGCATGTTTTCAAAACAAACTTCCAATCAAAATAATTGAGGCGCCATACTTTGAATTGCACAATGCATTATATCAAATTGTATCTGGGTTTCATGGGGAGAGGGAAGCAAAACATTTTGGGTTGCTGTAAGAGGAGAGGGGAGTTAGGTTCTCGGTCCCCTAACTAAAAATCAAGTAAATGAATGAAGAAACCAGCTTACTTCCAATATTATGAATAAGATTAGAAAATAGGCCTAATCCATTTCATTAAAGAGATGCATTCAGTGAAATAAACTCTGCTGGGTAGGAGTTATTTTGGTAATCTAGAAGAGGTTTATAATTCAACCTTGATAAAGGCTTCGAAAGACTCTATTCAACAAAACCATTTCACCTAGGTATTATAGGCATTTCCCACAAAAAGAAACCGCATACATGGCACCAGTTTATCTAAAAATGTAGCTGGAATTGGTTCGGCGCATCATTTTTCAGTCGAAGTTACAAGTGTTATCGATGGTGACGTGGAGTGGAGATAATTTGTCATTATTTCAATATATATTTAAACAGTATAAACTTAAAATCGAATCAATGAAACAGATTCTGAGGTTCAATCGACGACGTCAAGAACAAACAAAACGACTTCAGAAAAAAAAGTATTGAATGTAGCTAATGCTTCGCTTAAACTCAAACATACAGGCGGCTCCTTTGAAGTTTCAAACTACACGGCGTGGGGTTTAGGGATATTGGCAAGACCACAAGACGTCGGACGATCTTGGTGGTTATGTGTGAAGATCAGTTGGAAATATTGGATCAAAGAGAGTAGCATGTGTGAATTTTAGGGTAATCAGCCTATCTTGACACTGTTAAAGGCACACGCGGTAACCGGTACAAAACAGATGTTTTTCGGACTTATATAACATTGTAACCGGTTAACTTTAAGACATAAAACAGGTTATGATGTGTGCAAAACAGCCTTTCTTATGACCTAACAATTATTGTCCCCAGTTTTACGATTATTTAACAATAGAATCTTTCCTTATTTTTATTCAGGGGAGTTTTATTATCAAGTTTCAACTCAGGCCACATGGGCGATTGTCGTTTGTTGAAAACATTTTAGTAACCATTTAAACCCCGCGAGATTTTGCAATGGAGCTATTGTAGAGACCCCAATGTTTACGCTTACCTCGCAAGTGTTATAAAAGTGGAACACAAAAATTAATCCTACATTGAATATATGCTTGGGGTAGTTAATGTGCCATCTAGTGCCATAGTGTTCCCTTGTCGCGTTGCCCTCATTGATTTTTTTCTGACTCGTCTGATTACTCGCACCAATATCCACACGTCCCCCGCTCAGACGCACTATCATCGATGCCACAAACTTTGTGATGCACTCCCCTTGGCAAAGAAACAAGCCAGCACTTGACTCCTGTGACCCTCTGCGACCTACACGCATTCCCTGACTTGTACGCAAACAAAGCAGCTGGAGTGAGAGGTCCGGCAGACCGTTGGGCCTTAATCGCCCCCAGTTTTCATCATAGTTGCAAATCGGCAAAAAACAAAATTTTGACAATCTATTTTTAGAAGGGAGTGTATTCACCACATGTGGGCAAAATGTCATTCAACGATTTTGGTGGTTATTTTTCATTTGCACCAGCTTTTAATTATGACAGCGTAGCAACTTTGCAGTCGCTCATAGTTTTCTGCTTGCAATCAACCAGTTGAACTAATACAATAAGCAGGTGCTAATGACTGACCAGCGATTTAGTCAAATAGACTTAAACACTTCAAATGATACCCTTTAAAAATAACTCAAAGGACGTCTAAGAGCCTTTATGGTTTAAGTCGTTGACAGCGGTTCTAATGAAAGCACCTGATTCGACATTCGCAAACACCTTCAACAAGACGACGAATAGCCACCCGATGTCAAAAAAACGCTGTAGACGAATTTAAAACTTAAATTGAGAAATCCAGACCAAAAGGGGTCAGCTTGTTGTGCTCTCAGAGTTTCTCAGAACGCGGGGTATGGCCGAAAGAAAAAGGCAAGAAAATCTGGAGATTAATAGTCAGTGATGTGTGCCAACTGGTACCATTTGAAGGTGTTTTAGGGCATCTGGAACGCGTCTGCAAAATGAACTATTTTTACACTAGCGCTATGGCCCAAGCTCATTAACATTCGTGCAACCATCAAGTTTAAAATTCTATGCCTGCGATGCATTGCTTCAACTCGTGAGGTCTAGGAGATTCGACCATACGGGCAAAATGAAATGATGATGGTTGTTTCGCAATTTTGTTGAGATATCCGCAAGCACCAAGACGTTTTCGTGCATAAAATTCATGAGTCTGTCCAAAGTAGCCTCGAAGCACAAACACTGATTATGCATCTATTGTAACATCGAATTACACACCAAAACATTCCTGCCTCAGTGTCCACAACGAACGAATTAATATAACGAGTTTCACTCACTCCCTCGCTAGCTCGCATATCGGCCATTATGCACTACATCATTATTGATTAGATTGAGTTAGTGGGTCAAAAAAGGCGTCAAGCCTCTGTTCGCGGATGTTTATGCTTGCTGTCTTATTTGTGCGGACTGAAGCTGTCACGTGTACGTATCTTAGAAATTCAGTCGAAGGCATTTTTGCTTTGCACTGGTTTTCTGCAAGACTATTAATCACTCGAGGGTGACCATTTAAAACTCCATTGAAGGGGCTGTGGAACATAAAACGGTTTCCTTTTGACTGTCTCTATGCAATCTTGAAAAGCAAAATCACTTGGTTTACTGATTGTATGGCATAGAAATTATACCGAAAGTTAAAATTTACCAGAAGCCCCTCTTCAGAGCATTTAATACTTCGAACGCGAAATGTAGGCCAATTCGGAAGATCAAGTTAATATTAGGTGTATGCATCAAGCAGCACACTACTATTGGAGATAACCTCTGATTACGATCCTTCATGAATTTTCAGGCCATTCCTAAGGCAGTACGAACGACCTCTGATACGATGGGAGCGGAACAACTGTCAAGGAATGCGCTTCAACACAACTCAACTAAGAAGACAAAATGACTCCTCGGAAGTAAACGTCTGATGCTTCTATTCATTGTCTTTTGCTTGGAACCGTCAACACCTGTCTCTGGAGTTACATTTATGCGTAGAATTCGCCGGCACGTCATGATTTGCACCCTTTATTCTACTTTAACCTAATTTTATTGGAGTGCAAACCTTCTCCCTTTGTACTTTTTTTCTCACAATTTCCCAGAACACGGTACGACACCACAAAAGGGAGACGAATGTCCATGCGTTTATGGAATTTGACGGTGCTTTGGAACGTACGGGAAGATTACAATTCACTCTTTGCTCGTAACAACGGAGAAGCTTGTGATGGTTGAGTGGGATTACGCCTCTGTCCCTGAGCGCCAGGACAAGTCGTAGCAGGGGTCTCTGAAGACACCCCGGATACCAGAGCAAAATTCCGCTCAAAAGCAAGACGACGTGAATAAAACAACTTGTTTGTATTTGTTTTGGGGATCCACGATTCCCCAAGATTGGTTTCTGATTCTATTTACATTAATTTATTAACATTTGTTTTGTTACGCTTTTATCAAGTCAAGGTCAACCTTGACTTGAATTTCTTTCATTTCACTTTTTCTCTGCACGTGGCTGACGTGAATAAAGCTCTCTATTCGAGCTCTGGTCTTGTTCTTTAATTAGCCTGGGAAGGTGGGTTCTAGCTTCAGCAAGGGATCTGGTCCCGTTATTTGAGTGGTCTTCTCTTTTGTTGCGGGTAAACGTAACAATTTGCGAAAACGCTTTTTTGAACTAAACTCCTAAATACTGAGTAATTAAGCACTGTGATGCGAATGAAGAAGTAGTAAGGGCTTAATCGGTTTATCAAAAACACGCTAAGTAATCTCCCATTACAGATTGCGACCTGGCAACTTCCACTTATGCCAGTATATTACCACCATAATAAACAACTCAACATTTTCTATAATCAAAGATCAAAGGATACAGAAGCATAGATTCTAAAAAAAGGGGGATATATTCGAAATACAATAACAACTGGCAAATTTTGCTTTCCCAATGATGACTCCTTCAAAACATGCGACTAAATCAAAGTGTCCAAAGTACTAAAGAAAGTGTTACATTTCTTCTTTGTATCAGATACTAGACTTACAAGGAGGGAAGAAATATTGATACAACCGCTTCTGTTCAACACGAGTTAATTCGAAACCACAATGGTTATTGCCAATGGGAACATTGGTAATCAATTCCAACGGAAACCAACTCCGAGTCCACCCACGAGATCTTCCATCAATGCGTCCTTTACGAACTTGGAGAGCGGGTTAACTTAGAAAAGTTAACGAGTGCTGACACTTGGTCGCCTTATGAATTGAGGTTCATGTGCTATTCCATTAGGTAGTTAAGTGTCTTTTAAGTCCCTCATAAAAACCGAATAGGTTGAGTTAACCGGAAATAAGCTTTCAGGAGTATCTAGTTACCCATCCACAACTAACGTCTTAGTTCTTAGAGCGCCTGACCGAGCACACATAACCCTTTAGCTTAAGGCCCGTTTGACTTTACTTCGAAAACAGATTAGCGAATTTTCAGTGAACTTACGAAAGAAACATGGGCTGATACAGTTGGTCAACAGTAGATTTACATAAAAATATAAGTTTACAAATAGTTATGGCAGCTGGGACATCTCAACGTCTTTTGTACTTTTCTTCCTAGCCTCGTCGAAAGAGGCCTTGTACTTTTGGGTGGCTTCCTTGTAACGCTCAATGTCTGTGAGGTAGTCCCTGTAGTCGGGGGCCATGTCACGCAGGTAGTCGGGGTGCACCGTCACCGAGGGGAACCACTCGGGCAGCATGTAGGGCTTCAGCCAGCCCACAAGAGGGGTCGGACCCCTTCGGTAGGCGACGTCACTGTGGTAGAAAAGTACACCATCTAGCTGAAAAAAGTGAAAAAAAAACATTAACAGCATGCAGGCGGAATAGCTACTTTAAAATTAACAGTAGGGTGTTACTAGAGAGATTTCCATTACTTCCGAAGAACGAAAATTTACGAAAACTGAAGTACACCACATGATGAAATCTTGTTGCAATAACTTCAAAACAGCCACGATTAACTCAAATTTGCTTAACATAAAGTGGTAGTGAGCCCTGTATCGCGTTTATCAATTTATTCGCATAAACACACAGACTGTTAGACACATTATTTTGATATGTAATGCTTTCCTTACGCAACAACCGGTGAATAGGCGTCTACCTCCGGATTTATCGTAACTTGCCGCAAACTAGAAGTCAGTTCCAATCGGTGGCATCAGAAATGGCGCTACTACCCCCAACCCCATCTACTCCAATACAAAGTTACTTCCCATATCCATTCAAACACATCCCGTGTTATTAAGCCTTTGACAACACAACGGACTCTAGACCGTCATTTCACATACTAAGGCTACGAAGAGAAACCCACTGGCCCAACGACCGTTACATCGTAATTTTGCATTCACGTCCCCGTAGTCATTCCGAATTGCGTCGGAGCCAGAAACGAGGACCAAAATAAATTCAGACCACGCAATTATTACACGATGGAACACTCAATCATCCAACTGGAGGAAAAGGATGACAGAGTCCAGAGCAATGGCGCACGCGGTGCCAACAATCAACTGTTAGGTGATGACCAACACATCTCATTTTTTGGCAACTGCCCACTCGCAAAACACACATCAGCGACTTTTTACTCAAATTCGGCTGTTCCTTCTGCGAAATTCAGAGCAGCAGCTTATTTGAAAAACCTAGGATTAGGTAATAGGACAGTAAAAACAACCACGACAAGCGCTACCAAGAACACAAATGTAAATACCACCATCCCTCTGAACACGGGGAGGCCTGTCGAATATGACAGAACTAACCACAAACCTATGACTGTGCACTGACATACTTCTTTAACTAATCGTGCGGCTGATATTTGCCACTACCTGTCTCTGAATTAAGCGCACCAAAGTTTGACCCTATGACTGTCCATTAAAAAAAAACAAAAGTTAGGGGTTGCATATTTCCTCAAAGCCGTTTAAATCGAACTGGCATTTACGAAACGTAAGCAGACAAATAATCAAGTCTAAATATTCCGGGGAACATCCCAGAGAATGCATGTGAATCGAAGAGAGTCGCATGTTTTATGCTGTAGATATGCACTAAAGCGAGTCACAATCTCTAAACACAGCGACCTTCAGCAACACAATAAACATAGCCGCTACATTAAAGTGTTGAATTTATTGCGACAACGGACGTATTTATAACGATCATAATACTTAAGCAGCAATCACCCACTTGTCTCGGACTCAACATCACTAAAGTCTCTTTGAGAAAGTGAAATCTTGGTTTACAAAAGCAACCCAATTATAGTCAATTTGGAGTATTACTATTTATTTATTTAACAAATACGTTACGAAGTAATTACTAAACAAAAATATTATCAGGTATTTTTGGTTATGGTCTAACAGGTCCTCAGTAAACTACTGAAACTGAAACATGCTTTATTACTTCTTAATCAGTTTATTGTTTCACATCGTGTTTACTGTTATGCTGATTCAACTGGTGCCTATGGCAGGGTACCCACACTAGTTACGGTATGAAAATAGGTTCTCTGTCAGATTAACAAAAGGAAATGATGGATTAATATTCTTTACAAATCTGGATAAATTAAAAACACACACAAGCCCAAATGAACAAAAATGTAGCAAATTTACGTACCTCGAAGGGAGGAGGAGAAGAAAAGACAGAGCTCATCGTCTCTGAATCACAGCTGTATGCGGGGATAATTTCAAAACGTGCCTACAAACGAAAGGGAAGTCAGAGCAGTCCCACAGGAATTTGCAAAATATCCACCAACCTACCACATCTCCTGGTTCATAAGCCTCAATATGTTCTTTGTGAAACGATTCAAGCCATTCGCATCGCTCCCGGAACTAAAGATTTGAAAAACGATTATTGCATGACGCTAATGCCGAAGGATTGAAAAACTAGGGGTTATTCAGTCGTCTTCAAATTAAGGTATTAAACTAAACAACGTAGAGGAAAGTGATCAGAACTCTACCAAGCAATCACGAGAAAAAAAGACGACAGTTTGTTGGCTAGTTTGTAGGAAAATTTCAGTAATTGGAAATGACCGCAATCATCCATAACCGGGAAAGCCTTACTTACCCGCTGTTGGGCGTATGAGGTAGATCTGAAAGAGATGAGATCAAGCACCTTGAGAATAATATTATTACCCAAGGATGAGGATGTTTCTGTGGAAAATTGATCCACTGATGTTCTTGACTGGTGAGTCATCGTTGCCGTGGGCACTCCAAGCATAATGCAATCAAGTATAGTTTGATAGCGATGCATCTGAGAAGAACTTTGGCCTAGACCACCACCCGGCAATCGGGTCAGCATCGTTGCAAGGCACAAACCCGTTCGTGAGTAGACGTTTGTTTGTCCCTAAAATATTAGTAATCACTGATTAGAAGAAAATTACTAGGACAACAGAAGATTCTTGGCTGTCTGAGTGGCAATAAATGCATGATTAAGGTATCCAGATCAACTAACACTTACACAAGAAACACATGAAATTCAAACTGCAAAACAGCTCTAGAGGGATACTTTGCTAGTAACCAAGTGAATGTTTACAGAATATCCACCGAGTTAACATTGAAAGTTATGAACATACATTACTGCAACGTACCTTGCTAGCTACAATATACACGTGCCGACCTTTAGGGCAGAGCTTAAATAGGTACTGTGAAGCAAAATCAGGTGGTATGAAAAGAAGCCACTCAGCAAGCATCAGGCGTGCAAAATGATCATTCCATGGCTTCTTCTGCTCTTGTAATCTGAGCTGTGTTGACCACGGGTTACCGCTTTTCAATAGTTGAGTAGAAAGCTCACGGTTAGCGTCAAACTTGTCATTTCGGTGCTTGTGGCGACGGCAATTTAAAAGTTCGGCTCTCCATCGACGCTCTTGGTCAAGTGCATATCCTGCATTTTTGTACAAAAGAATCCGCGGACAAGCTGATGTATCAGTCACACTACTGGAAACTTTCTCAACCCCTGATACAGCAGAAAATTCGAACGACAGGAGGTCCACCGCCTCGTCCGATTCCATCCAAAGAGACTCGGGCGTGCCGCCACGACCACGGTTAATTAAAACATGCATGATAAACCATTCTGCAGAAAATTATACATATATTTTAGCTTGTAACAACACACTGACTTTCAATAATTTAGTGGTAAACTCGTTAAACGCATGATTGTATATTCAATGAATCCTACAGTACCTTAAGTTCACATCAGTTGAAGATTTTTGCAAATTTAAGTCCTTCCTCATGGAGACACGATATTTTACGAATTTCACAACAGAGTCAGCTGACTCATAACCTCCCCTTTTTGCTGGTGATAAACTGTGTTACCATGAATTTGTGACATGATATTTATTTCAAATTTCCTGCATTAATTTGCTTCTTGGCTGAAATACCAGTTTCGTGTCCTTGCATAAGTTAAAGGGAAACTTTTACGTTCAATTTTTAGAATAACAGTAGGACTGCTTACACTGTGTTTTATTTCGTTTTAACATGCTCTTCAAATCTCTTGTGAGTAATTCTCAAGGTTATATATTTTATTGGCTAGTTAATCAACTCACTTCAAAAATTCATGTCACCGTTAGCCTTTTTGGAGCATTAACCCTGTGTGATGGTGGCTTTCTGCACCGGGGTGGTGAATTCTTGTGTTTGGATATTAATTTTTCTCATCACATGGCCGTTGTCGTTTGTTTTAGCTATTTTCGAAGTCCTACTTATTCCACTTTGTGTCTGTTCTGCGAACGTGAAAGACGTCGTTGAAGAACTTGATCGGATTTCAAAGGTATGTTTTCCGACCCCTCATTTCTCCGACACTATATCGCACAGCATTAAATTGAATAAAAATAAATGGGGTCAGGAAGTATTAATCTTATTTGCCATGGGAACGTTCAAACTCTGGTGTTTATATTAATTCATAATATTTCATTTCAAATAAATATGTTGTTTTATTCATTAATCTTGTTCATGGATTATTTCTTCTCAAATATTTTAATACTTTCGGGGCCAAAAATGTAACACGTTTCTAGAAGCAAACCTGTGTCTATTCCTTTTTGGATCTCATAATATGTTCTATCGTAGATTCTATCGTAATATGTTCTATCGTAGCCTCATTTCACTGGTATTTTTGATACTTGTCTGGGCTGCTGACCCGTTTTCTACTTGTGCAACCTTTTCTGTGTAATCCTTCGTGATTAATTCGCCTTACTTTCTAAGGATTGCTCATGTTGTCAAATTTTCATCTCTCATAGAAAATATCCGAGAAGGGTCTGTCATCAATGTACTTTCGCATCAGAAATAATAAAGTTACTTTTCTTACTCTTAAGGATTTGCAATCCTATTCTATATTGATTGATTTAACGAATTTTCAGCTTCTTAATGTTCGTCTACTTCTGCCCTATTTGCGCTGTAATTACTCGAAAATGTTGTGTTATTTCGTATAGGTCCACTCTTCTGTTGTACCATTCATGCCTGTGTTCTAACCTCATACATATATAATTATCCTTTTAAGTGGTTCGCTTTTGTCCCTATGGAAAACGCTTATAAAATGAAGCCAATTTATTCTCGCCAAAGCATACCTGTACCGGCCGATGAACC